AGGAAAATCATTTCAAGGTGATTTCTCAGATATCTGTAAAAATGGTTGCTCACTGATAACACCTTTTACTCCAACCTGAATATCTAGAGTATTCCTTGGACTATAAATATAAAAGTTTTTTTCAAAAATATAAATATGTCTATTTTAAATAATCCAGCAAAGACTGGACAAATAAAATTTGAATTCCCAGTTACTTCTTTATAAATGTTACCCAAGAGGATTTCTAAATTTAGTAAGAAATCCATTCTAAAATGTAGACATGGAGTCAAGGATAAATTTTCCTTTTTTTTTTGAGACAGAGTTTTGCTCTTGTTGCCCAGGCTAGTGGGGAGGTTGAGGGTGAAGGTGGGGGAGGTTTAGGGTAGGCGGTTGGGGTGGGAGGGAGGTTAAGTGTGGGGGGTGGGGAGTGGGAGGGAGTTTGAGGGTGAGGGGTGGGAGGTAGGTTCAGGATGGGGGTGTGGGAGGGAGGTTGGGGGGACAGGAGGGAGGATGGGGAAGGATGGGTTTGGGGGAGTTGGGAGGGTGGGGAAGAGTGGGGTTGGGGGTGGGGGGAGTCTTTCCTGGGGTACCCAAGGGTGCAGGCTGGACAAATGCCTGGGTCCTGTACCTAGGAGGGTCCTACGCCTAGGAGGGCAGCTGTAGCTGTACTGGGAAGGCAGATTCTGCTTGCTTCCGGCCCTGTCCCAAGAGCATAGGGAGGCCCGTTCCACAACTGCAGCTTGGGAGGCTGCAGCCCCACCCAGGAGGGTGGGTCCCCTTCCTGCTTCCTAGAGCAGGAGACCTGGGTCTGCACTTATGGTTTGGGCAGCTGCAGCACCTGGGGGAGCTCCTACCCCAACTCAGAAGTTGCCATTAACTAAGTTGGCCAACATGGTGAAACCCCATCCCTACTAAAAATTAAAAAAAAATAGCTGGGTGTAGTAGCAGGCACCTGTAATCCCAGCTACTTAGGAGGCTGAGGAAGGAGAATTGCATGAACCTGGGAGGTCACTGAGCTTCTTGTCACTGTATCACATTACTGTGCTCCAGCCTAGGCAACAGAGCAAGACTGCATCTCAAAAAAAAAAAAAAAAAAAAAGACAGAAAAGTGGAGATCATTTGACACTTGAAATAAGAAAACCACCCACACTGAATGAGATTCGTGTTTATACAGCTGCTCCCTGAGGGCACTCCCCAGCGTACAAGACATGAAGTGGCTAGGACTGAGCAGAAAAGCACAGTGTTTTTGACTTGTCAGAGAATGGAGTCAGGGGCTACCAAAGGGCCTGGAAATCAAGGGAAGGAACCTTGGAAAAGAGGGAGCCACAAAGAGGAAGCCCCCAAATCTGCATTTAAACTCACTTCAAATTCTTGGCTGACCCCTGAAAAGGGCTTAATGAGATGAGACTCCAAAGATGTCAAGTAAAGCAACAGCTGGAAAGTGTCAAAAACAGAGCAACAATCTCATTGGCTGCTCACTGCAAGGGAGATGGAATTTGGAGTTTGCATATCACCAAGTCCATGTCCTAGGAGTAAAGGGTGTGTTCTACATCTAAGAAATTCGCCCTAAAACTAGTGGCAAAGCTAAAAGAAATGTATCCATAGAAAGTGTAAGACTAAGCATCCACAAATTTAAGGTGATTAATCAAAAAAGCAATTGATTACTTAAAACAGAAAGCAACACTCAGTTAAGAAAAATAAAATCTGGCCAGGCACAGTGGCTCACACCTGTAATCCAAGCACTTTGGAGGCCAAGGCAGGCGGATCACCTGAGGTCGGGAGTTCAAGACCAGCCTGACCAACATGGTGAAACCCCATCTTTAAAAAAAAAATAGAAAAAGAAAATCCAAAAGCTCTTCAACATATTATCCATAATGTATAATATGCAAACAAATTGGTAGCCATTTAAGTAATTAAGACTAGTATAATGAGGTTAAGAGGAGAAGCAGTCAATAGACAAAACTGTGAGATGGCTCAGATGTTGGAAATAGCTGACGAGAACTTTAAAACAGCTACTACAAATATTCAAAGACCTAAGGAAAATATCGTCATCATAAATAAACATATAGAGAATTTCAGCAGAATATGGAAACTATTTAATGATCCAAGTTTAAAAGTCTAGAACTGAAAATTGAAGTATTTAAAATAAAAACCACCATGGGACAGGCTTAACAGCAGACTGGAGCTGGTAGAAGAAAGGATCCACGCACTTGCAAACCGCGTTTCAGAAATTATCCAATCTAAATAACAGAGAAAAAAGCTTTAAAAAACATAAAAAGAGACCATGACTTTTCAGAAGATATCAAGAAGCTTGACATGAGTTGGGCGACATGAATCACCTCTCTTTTGCCAGTTAGTCTCTGCAGTTATGTTTTTTCTTTGAAAGGGTGGTCATTTATCCTCAGGATAAAATTCTTTCCTTTTCTTCATTCACCCAAGATTTAGGCCATGTGTGACTGTTCTCAAGTAAACCAAAAGTGAGCATAAGTTGATGTTAAGACACATAGTGGATTGAACTGAGTCTAATTTGTTTTTATTTTTATTTAATTTTTTATTTTTTGTATTTTTAGAGATGGGGTTTCTCCATGTTAGTCAGGTTGGTCTTGAACTCCTGACCTCAGGTGATCCACCCACCTTGGCCTCCCAAAGTACAGGGATTACAGGCATCAGCCACCACACCTGGCTGTGAGTCTAATTTTTAATATATATAACTGGCAATCTTAACAGAGCAAATTTGCCTCTATTAAAAAAAGATAAATCTTGATATTGAAATAAAAATAGATATCATAATAAATACCCCCAAATCTCAGTATGGAACTGTTTAAAATCTACATGGACCAGCCAAAGGCTTGTGTAGCATTTTTAAAATGTGAAGCTTATATTTACTTTCTGTGCCAAAAAAAAAAAAAAAGCACAGATTTCTTGAGATTTTTTTAACACAACCTTTCCCAGATGTCCCACTGTGACCGAAATGAACAATTATGCATTCTGATGTACTTTTAAAAATTGAAATAAAAATTGGAATTTCACTGGTCACTTGTCTTTATTATGACCCTCTACTATTTTTAAAACTTTGTTTCAGAGTTCTTGAACTTTATTTTGGGCAGGAACTTGATAATATATCATATTACCATAAAATCTTCCAAGTCAGTGAATAAAACACATAAACAAGGTTGCTGGACCTAGAAACATTTTGATAAAGATCCGTTCTGCAAAGTCATTTTGACAGAAGCAAACATACTTGAGGTGATATAATTTATTACTTCCTCCTAAGCAGGACAACTTCAAGACATATTGGTGAAAGGACTGAAGTGAACTAGGCAGGCTGTTTAAGCACAACACGGTGAGGAAGCTTCTTACTGACAGACAACCCAGGTCTCAGGTTCCCAGCCCTGCCCGCTGGCCCTCAAAGACTGTCATGGTCATCCATGAGGATGTTTGTGCTTGAAGTTCCCATGCAGTGTTTTGGGTTTGCTGTCTTTTGATCTGCTAGATATGGGCCCTCCCTAACTTCTGCCTACACCTCTGGGACCTCCATGGGGGAGGTGCAGAGGGTCCCAGTACTGCGATGCCACTTAGCTCCGATGCTGTTGCATCATTGAATGGCATCGACATTCTTGTTCTTGTAAAAAGCAACAAGCTGTGAACACAGGTAAAACCCAATACATTTACACATATTCTTGTTTTAGTTGAAAAGCTATTGACAGGGTGATAGGAAACAGTTTCTTTTGTTTAGAGTGGGCTGTTTGGAAAAGCTCTGCATATTTTTTTTTAGACTTTTTACCCACTGAATAACAATTCCCCACTTACCCTCCCCTGAAATCCCTGACAACCACCAGTCTACTCTCTGCTTCTATGAGTTTAACTATTTTTCTTCTTAGAAACAAGGTCTCATTCTGTTACCTAGGCTGGAGTGCAGTGGCACAATCAAGGCTCACTACAGCCTTAACCTCCTGGCCTCAGGTGATCCTCTGGCCTCAGCCTCCTGAGTAGCTGGGACTATAGGCATGCACAACCACACCAGGCTAATTTTTTTATTTTTTGAAGAAATGGGGGATCGGTGTCTCACTATATTGCCTAGGCTGGTCTTGAACTCCTGGGCTCAAGTGTTCCTCCTCCTTCGGCCTCTCAAAGTGCTGGGATAACAGATGTGAGCCACCCTCAGCCACCCCATTTTGTAGTTATCTCATCTAAGTGGAATCATGCAGCATTTGTCCTTCTGTGACTGGCTTATTTCAGTTAGCATAATGTTCTCCAAGTTCATCCCTATGTGGCACACAGCAGCATTTCCTTCTTTTTATGGCCAATTCCATTTATGCATATTCCACATTTTCTTTACTCATTTATCCATTGATGCACATTTAGGTTATTTCTGTATCTTGGCTATTGTGAATAATGATGCAGTGAGCATGGGAGTGCAGGTATCGCTTCAACATCCTGATTTCTTTCTTTTTTTTTTTTTGAGACTGAGTCTCACTCTGTCGCCCAGGCTGGAGTGCAGTGGCACTCCACCTCCCGGGTTCAAGTGATTCTCCTGCCTCGGCCTCCCAGGTAGCTGGGATTACAGGTGTGAGCCACCATGCCCAATCTGTTTTTAATTTTTATTTTTTTAGGAACCTCCATACAGACAACATAATGTAATATTCTGGATGAGATACTGGAACAGAAATTAGACATAAGGCAAATACTAAGGAAATCTGAATAATGTATGGACTTTAGTTAATGATAACGTGTCAATATTGGTTCATTCATTGTGACAAATGTAGTACAGGAATGTAAGATGCTTGACAATGGGGAAACTGCCTGCAGGATATAGGGGAATTCTCTGTACTGTCTTCGCATTTTTCTGTAAATCTAAAACTATTCTAAAATTAACAAATTTATTTAAAACTTTTAAGTGGCATACTCTAAAATATTAGCTGTGGTGAGATATGTAATTTTTATTATGTCTTCTAATATTATGTTGTTGTATATTACTTACCAAGTGAAATAATAAAGTGGATCAGTAAAGAAAAAATTACCTGATGTGCTTTAATATTTTCTCTAGTAGGGTGAGGTCGCTGATGCCTGTAATCCCAGCACTCTGAGAGGCCCAGGTGGGTGGATCACTTGAGGTTGGGAGTTCGAGACCAACCTGGCCAACATGGTGAAAACTCGTCACAACTAAAAATACAAAAAAATTAGCCATGTGTGGTGGCAGGCCCCTGTAATCCCAACTGCCTGTCTTATTTACAATAGCCTGTCTTATTAAGAAAATCAGTATTTTGGCCCGGCACTATGGCTCACGCCTATAATCCCAGCACTTTGGGAGGCTGAGGTGGGTGGATCATGAGGTCAAGAGATCGAGACCATCCTGGTCAACAAGGTGAAACCCTGTCTCTACTAAAAATACAAAAATTAGCTGGGCATGGTGGTGCTCACCTGTAGTCCCAGCTACTCGGGAGGCTGAGGCAGGAGAATTGCTTGAATCCAGAAAGTGGAGGTTGCGGTGAGCTGAGATTATGCCATTGCACTCCAGCCTGGGTAACAACATCGAAACTCTGTCTCAAAAAAAAAAAAAGAAAAAACTTTTTCTAACAGATTTGTTTTATACTGATATCTTCTAACTAATAATTCTGACAAATGTAACAAATGTATTTAGCCTGAACTAACATCAATTTAAAACAACAACAACAAAAAAAAAAAACACCAATAACTGGCTACTCTACAGAATTGACTGCAAAGGAAATGAGAATTCTCACCCAGGTAAAGCATTGCATGAGTATGTGGAGGTTTATTCTTAGAATTATAACTGTATGAAATGTGTTTTGAATTTGAACATGAGCTTAGAGGCAGGAGAATCACTTGAACTCAGGCAGCAGAGGTTGCGGTGAGCTGAGATCACACCACTGCACTCCAGCCTGGGGACAGAGCAAGACTCCATTTCCAAAAAAAAAAGAAAACTTACTGAACCATGAATGTTCTGGTCCTTCCGTCACTGTCAGGTCCACACACTTGGCATTGAGGCTGGAGGAGGAATTGAAGCATGAGATGGGAAGCTGGACTGGCTAAGGAATGACCCTTCACCCTGCAATTCTGGTTTGGTGTCCAATCACAAGTCTGTAAATGGAGAGACGGGGGACAGCTAACTTCAAATACTAGAAGGGTAACACATGGGAGGAAAAAGTAAGTCTTCTCTATGGCCCTATACAAGTCAGAAACACTTCCAATTGCAAGTGGAAATGAACATCAAAGGACTACGCCAAAAGAGGAATTTTCTGACCCTTGTCACTGAAGAGACTGGGAATAGATATTTGCGTGGCTCTCTCCAGATGGTCCAATGCTCACTTCTGGAAACAACATCAGTCCCTCCCAGCTCTGCATTCTTCCTTGTTCCTTCTCAGAAAGGCTGCCCTTGTGCAGAGAAGCTGGCCCCAGCCACTGGGCCTTCATGGTACTGCTAAGTATCCCTAGCAGAAGGGGAGTTTGTCTTTCCTCAGGAGGCTGAGGCAGGAGAATCATTTTTTCTTTGAGGCAGTGAAACTCTGTCTCAAAGAAAAAAATAAAATAGCAAATGGTGGTGTGCACCTGTAATACCAGCTACTTGGGAGGCTCAGGCAGGGGAATCATTTGAACCAGGGAGATGGTGGCTGCAGTGGGCCAAGATTGCCCCACTGCACTCCAGACTGAGTGACTGAGTAAGACTCCATCTCAAAAGAAAAGAAAAGAAAACTGGAGGAATACCTGACAGGGCAGGTAGATGCTGGACCGGCAAAAACAAGAATTCCACTACCCATCACAATGGGGAAAATTCAGGAACTGCAAAATGACATACTATCATTCAATAAAAAGAGGGCGATTTAAACAATCAGACCCATCCCAAGCTGGGATCGGAGGTGTAGGGAGTTCTGTCACAGGAGGTTCCAAGCAAAGACTTGCACTTCTAAAGTTCCTAAGAATTCAAACCTTAAATGAAATCTATCTAAGGACTGATTTGTGATTGGACACCACAATGCTTTCCTCTGTCTCCACTGCTCTTCACTTCTCCAATTCACCATCACAGCTTAACTGTGCAACTGAACATGCCCCCTAACTTGTCTTACTGCCTGCCTCCCATTTGCCTCTCTACAATTCATTCTCCAGAGAGCAAGCAGAGGAAACAGTCATTTATTCATTCAATAAGTATTTAGTGAGCACTTGGAACATGCCGGGCACTGTTTCAGAGATAGCGATATCAGTGACCAAGAAAGACATAAATCTCGGTCTTCCTCCCAGGAGGAAGGTCTGAGATACAAAAAGATAAGATGAGCAAAGAAATCATCACATGTATCCATGCACAAATGCTCTGAATGTAAAATAATACACCAATTTATCAAGTTATAGATATAAAACTAAAATAGTAGATGACATTAGCACATAATTTGAATGGGTAGTCTGAATTAAGAATTGTAAAGTCCTTGTAGTGTTTGGTGGCCTGGTAAGATAGGAACTTTAATCTTTGGTAAGTATGCATGATACATTTCAAGACTACCTTGGACTTTCCTTGCCTTGGGAAGCTGAGGCAGGAGAATCGCTTGAACCCAAGAGGCAAAGGTTGCAGTGAGCCGAGATGGTGCCACTGCATTTCAGCCTGGTGGGCAGAGTGAGAGTCTGCCTCAAGGGGAAAAAAAAAAAAGGCCAGGTATGGTAGCTCACACCTGTAATTCTAGCACTTTGGGAGGCCAAGGCAGGAGGATCACTTGAGGTCAGGAGTTCGAGACCAGCCTGACCAATATGGTGAAACCCTGTCGCTACTAAAAATACAAAAATTAGCTAGGTGTGGTGGTGTGAGCCAGTAGTCCCAGCTACTGGGGAGGCTGAGGCAGGAGAATTGCTTAAACCCAAGAGGTGGAGGTTGCAGTGAACCGAGATCATGCCACTGCACTCCAGCCTGGGCAACAGAGTGACACTCCATCTCAAAAAAAATAATAAAAATAAAAAGAACGACTGCAGCAATGCATTATCAACCACAAATCAACTTCTTAGAATTTATTTAGACCCATGTTAGACTTTTTTATTTTATCCATCATATCTCTTAATTTCTCATTAGTATTTCTCATCTTCTTATCTTTATTTTTTTTTTTTTTTAAGACGGAGTTTCGCTCCTTACCCAGGCTGGAGTGCAATGGCGCAATCTCGGCTCACCGCAACCTCCGCCTCCTGGGTTCAGGCAATTCTCCTGCCTCGGCCTCCTGAGTAGCTGGGATTACAGGCACACGCCACCATGCCCGGCTAATTTTTTGTATTTTTAGTAGAGGCGGGGTTTCACCATGTTGACCAGGATGGTCTCGACTCTCGACTTCGTGATCCACCCGCCTTGGCCTCCCAAAGTGCTGGGATTAGAGGCTTGAGCCACCGTGCCTGGCCCATCTTCTTATCTTTTATATGCTATATTCTGAGTGCTTTCTGAAGATTTTGTGCCAATTCCCTAATTCTTTCTCTTGTTCTAATATAACATGCAACTCATTTTTAAAGTTTCAATAGTTATGTTTCTTTCTAACAGTTTAATTATTTTTCTAATATTCCTGATTGATTTCTGTTCATTTTTGTGATTCCTTCTTTTATATCTGTATGTATATTTCATAGGTAGCTATTTTGTATTCAAGCTGATTTTCCCAATTTCAGAAATCCTAGAAAGTCTGAATAATTGTTGCTTTTTCTACTGCTTCTCATTTGAGGCTGTTTATTTCTCTGCGGCCATGAGCTCATATTTTTTTAAAAACCTAGAGGCCTAAGTTGAGGATGCCTTCGTCAGAGATGATTACGTTTGTTTCCTTTGGGATCCCGATGGTGCTCCTGACCTGGGACCACTTTGGCCACTTCCGAGCTCCCCTGGCTGATTTTCTAGTCCCGGACCCAGCTCAGCCCCATTGCCACTGGTCCCAGGCTTTGTCTGCGGGTTGAAATGCTGAAATGGGATTTGCCTTTGGATCACCTTTGCCTTTCAGGTATGTTCACTGCTCTGCTCAGGTATTAGGTACCTTTCAGAAGGGGTTAGGAGTCCTTGGAGAATTTTTATTCTTCCTATTGTAAAATGTGACTAAAAAAATATGTTTTCTGCATGCTCTACTTGTTTTGAAACAGAAAAGCTCTTCATTCGGAATAAACGCCATTTGTCCTCTGTTTTCTCCCTCTTTCCTTCCTTCCTTCCTTTCTTTCTTTTGGGAAACCCACCTTTCCTCATTCTGAAATAGCATTTTTCTGACGGATCTCCTACTATTTTCCTGACTTTTCTTTTTTCAGTCTGTCTCTCCCTCACCCCAACGCTTCCTTTCTCCGTTCTTTAGAGGATGGAGTTTTCCAGAATCCCATCCTTTTTTCTTCTTACAGTTTATTTCATCTATAGCTATGATTTCATCCACAGCATCCGAACAAATCTGTATTTCTAGCTCCAAAAGAACTCCAAGTTGGCCGGGAGCGGTGGCCCATGCCTGTAATCCCAGCACTTTGGGAGGCTGAGGAGGACAAATCACTTGAGGTTGGGAGTTCAAGACCAGCCTGACCAACATGGAGAAAACTCGTCTTTACTAAAAATACAAAGTTAGTCAGGCATGGTGGTGCATGCCTGTAATCCCAGCTACGTGGGAAGCAGAGGCAGGAGAATCACTTGAATCCGGGAGGTGGAGGTTGTGGGTGACCCAAGATTGCACTATTGCACTCCAGCCTGGGCAACAAGAGTGAAATTCCATCTGAAAGGACAAAAAGCAACAACAACAACAAAACCCCTAAGTTACAAATCTATATTTCGAACTTCCTTCTTGGAATCTCCATTAGGATTTTCCTCAATTCAAAACTTTCACAACTGGGCTTGTTATCTCTCATATCCTCCATCCCTAAATCAACTCTTCTTCCATTATTTTCCAACTTGGTCATGGATACCACTATCCACCACTCAACTAAGCCAAATTTTAACTCCTAAACAACCCTTGAATTCTTTCTTTCTCTGTCTTATTTCCATCATCACTGCCAGAGCTGGATCCTTATCATTTCTTCCCAATCAATTGAAAGACTCCTGATCTTTCTCTTGCCTCCAGACTCACAGCTCAAATCCACCCTACCTACTGCTGCTCTTGTGATTTTTCCTAATGCGAATGTGAACATGTCACTCTTCTGTGGGAAACTCTTCATTGGTCTCCCTCATTGACACGTGTTAAGGCTTAGGGTGCATAACTGGGTATATAAAGCCATTATGACCTACCTAACTTATGCTTACTTTGCCGGCCTACTTCACTTATTTGTTGGAGAGCAATGAATCTTTTATTTATTATTATTACTATTTTAAGATAGAGTCTTACTCAGTCACCTAGGCTGGAGTGCAGTGGCATGATCCTGGCTCACTGCAACCTCTGCCTCCTGGGTTCAAGTGATTCTCCTGCCTCAGCCTCCCAAGTAGCTGGGATTACAGGCATGTGCCAACACCCAGCTGTTTTTTGTATTTTTTATAGAGACAGGGTTTCGTCATGTTTGCCAGGCTGGTCTCGAACTCCTGACCTCAGGTGGGCATATGCTGTAATGAGAAATCCCTCACGTTAAAAACTCAAAGGAAGCTATTTGGAATGAAAGGTTGTCAATGTGTGCATTGAACTTACAGAGTTACACTGCTGTGTGTATGCAGCAGTTTGCAAACGCTTTCTGTGAAGAATCTCAAAACTGACATTTCCAGCAAAATCCCATGTTATCCTCTCTAAATTCTAGACGAGTTGCAATTTACCCATTTATTCATCTTTTTTGAAGTTATTACTATCTAAACCTGTGGCTGATACTAGGCTCTGAATGAACAAATGGAAGCAAACTTAGAAGTGCAGCCCAAGAGACAGTAAATACCGGAGGAATTGACCAATATAAGGAACCGCGTACAAGAACAGTGTTTCCCCAGGCGTAAGTGCAAGTAAGTATGAGGCAAGCAGATGTCCTCTTGCCCTGTCTGGTCTGGGAACCATATTTAATTAATCAAGACTTTGTAGAGTGAATCGGAACAAAACCAAAACAAAACAAAGGGCAAACAAGCCAACTTCTGAGAAAGAACTGACTGAAAAAGTCATGAACTCCCCTAAACCCCAAGTCTAAACGGGAGACTCGCAGCTTAGCGGAGCCCCGCCCCCTGAAGCCCCGCCCCTGGGAAAGCGGGGCCTGCAAGATTGGCGGGGCTTTCCCGCGAGGCCACGCCCTCTCTGGGCGGCCGGTAAACCCGCCTGCTGCTTGCTCCGTTTCCTAGGAGATGAAACACCCGAGACGCCTGACGGCAGTGCACGAAGTAAGTGGCCGGCGCGGGCAGGTAATCCCGAGCTGGCTGCGGAGCCGCCACCCTCCGTCCGACCCAGCCCGAGCCCGACCTGTCAGGCTGGCCGGGCATTTTCCCCTCGGCGCCCTGTGCTACCAGGGCCAACCTCCGCCGAGAGAAGACTGTCGGTGTCTCCCAGGCCTCCTGACCACTCTCCCGCCTCCTGGGCCGGCCAGGCGTGGGAGGATGACAGCGGGGCGTCCCTCAGCCTGAGAGACCCCCACCCCGAACCTCTCCCCCGGGGTTTCCTACCTCTGCGCCCTCCTCCGCTTCCCTGCTGCGTGGGCTGGAGGTGGAAACTGCTTATAGGACAGAGGCAGGATTGAGTCTCCGGGAGACAGCGAAACTGTGTTCAGAACTGTTGCAAAATCTAAAACGAGGGAGAAAAACAGGAACTAGGTCCGATTCCAGCCCTCGCTGGTGTATCCCAAAGGATGATCAGGTGAAAGTGGAATCCCGCCCAACTGCGTCCGGTCCATGGCGCCTGACTCCCCGACTCCTTCCAGCACGCGGCCCCGGAGCCTTTTTTTTTGAAACAGAGTCTCACTCTGTCACCAGGCGCCAGGCTGGAGTACAGTGGTACGATCTCGGCTCACTGCAACCTCCGCCTCCCGGGTTCAAGCAATTCTCCTGCCTCAACCTCCAGAGTAGCTGGGACTACAGGCGCGTGTCACCACGCCCAGCTAATTTTTGTATTTTTAGTAGAGACAAGGTTTCACTATGTCGGCCAGGATGGTCTTGATCTCTTGACCTCGTGATCCGCCCTCCTCGGCCTCCCAAAGTGCTGGGATTACAGGCTTGAGCCACCGCGCCCGGCCCCCCGGAGCCTTTTAAGGGCCCTGGTTTGCAAAGTCAGACCAGAAAGCGTGTGACGAAAACTGCCCCTTTTCTGCAAATAATGCGTTTTAATTTAGGGACAGGTCAAGAATGCGATGTCGAGAGCAGTGAAACTGGTTTTTAGGTCGGGCGCGGTGGCTCACGCCTGTAATCCCAGAACTTTGGGAGGCTGAGGCGGGCGGATCACGAAGTCAGGAGATGGAGACCATCCTGGCCAACATGGTGAAACCCCATCTCTACTAAAAATGAAAAAAAAAAAAAAAATAGCTGGGCGTGGTGGCCCCCGCCTATAGTCGCAGCTACTCGGGAGGCTGAGGCAGGAGAATTGCTTGAACCCGGGAGGCGAAGATTGCAGTGAGCTGAGATCGAGCCTCTGCACTGCAGCCTGGTCGACAGTGCAAGACTCTGTCTCAAAACAAACAAAACTGGTTTTTAGTGGTGAGTGATCGCAATTCTACAAGGAAAGAGCTGTATGAATTGTGTTTAGATAATCGCTTCAAAGAAACAAACATTTGTTCTAATGATAACGGAATTCTCGAGGGAACCAAAAGTTATCGGTCTTAATTTATTAAACAGAACAACCCATTGAGTGAAATAATGATGGAGACAAAAGTGACTTTCCGGCCTTTCCGTCGGGCCCCGCCTCCCAGGCCCTCCAATTCCCAAGGCTTGACCTGGAGGGAGAAATTTCCTCCAACCGTGCCACCGACTGCTTCCACAGCAGGCACCGAGCAGGACATTTAATCTCTTTGTCGGGCCGGACTTTGTTTATTTGTGTGTTATCTTTGAAATAATTTGTGAATGTCAGCAGAGAGAACTGTGCTCTTATATTTTAACATAGAATTTGCTTTCCCGTTGTAATGGCTCCTCATTTAATTTCTGTAAACCTTTGACTTGGTTAGTTTGGGATCTTTCTCCTGTGTTGCTTTTTAAAGAATTCAGTGACTTTTAAAAGGTTCATTATTGCAAGCGTTAATGCCAGCCTCGGAGTGACGTAATTATAGTGTGTTCTAGAAAGCCAAGTTGAAGACATCCAAGCTCTATCTGTTCAGCGATTGGCAGACACGAGTTTTACCCTTCATTTGCCCTCTATTTTAATCTTCTTTAATCCTATCTAAATCTCATAATAGCTGGCAGAAGCTGTTGAGAATAAAGCCCAGATTTACAACAGTTGTGCACTTAAACAGTAATTATGAACTTAGATTAAAAAGTTGAAAACTAGAATGAGAGATAAATTATAAGGGTATTTGTTTTTGTGTAGGTCTATAAGCCTCTAAATAAGTGTCTTTTTCTCTAACCATAGGAAAGTCAATAAATATAGCTCGATTTTGGAAAATTCCAAGTTTCTAACAATTCTATTAAATTAATTGAGGATGACAGTTATATTTACTTGGGTTTTGCTTTGTTGCATGTATATCATATATATACATATGTATACATATTCATGTACATAAGAAGCTGTGTTAATATATCCCTATTGTGTAGAATTAGTTTTCCATAGGTCAACAGAGAAGCATATATGTAACCGGTAGAGAAATATTACTGTGTGTGAACTGGAGAACCAGGGGAAGTCTGTGTTTAAGGAACATAGCTTTTTGATTAGGCATCAGTAGTTGCTGCGCTACACTGATAAAAGCAGTTGCTTATGTACTATCAGTTAGTAGGTACCTGGAAATAATGATATTTTAAAAGCTTTACCTTTATATCTATGTCTCTGCATGAGACCATTTTCCCTGTATGTTCAGGGGACAGAAGGAACAGTTGTAATAGATCAGCTTCTCACCCTGGGGAGCTGTTGATTTTTGTAATTAATATAGTTCAAAAGATGCCTTTCCAAAATTTTTTCTTAGGGAGCACAGTATGTAAACTTCTTTTACTTAAAGGCTAGGTAGGACTTAAATGAGACAGATCCTCACAGAGCCACTAATCTGACCTTTTAAAAATGTGTGTCCTGGCCATAATCTCACCACTCCACCCCTTAAACAGAAAGGAGCTGGGAAATGGTAGTGTTTCTTGCTTATTCTTCCCTCAATATAAGTATACCCTATCCTATAGCCGTCATCAGTTGAAAGATAATTGGTGTTGCCGGTGTTTATTCAGAAGTTGATTGGTTAGGCCTGGAATGAAGTTGCCACAGTAGCCACTCTTAAAGTGGCTGGGTGTGCAAGCCAGGGCCAAAAGTCATCAGTGACTGGATGTTCTGTGTGCTGATCATGCTGGTGCAGCTTCAGGTCACGCTCCCACCCCAGGGCCATGGTGATGGGGGTGGCTGATGGCCTTAATAGTGGAAGAGAGAGGAGTAATTAATCCTATTTTTTCAGGTTGTTGGGCCAATGAAGGTAAAATTTTTGGCACTCCGTTTCCACTTCCTGAATAACACTCGCTGCCATCATTGCCATGTTACTAGAGGTGCTGCATTAGGAATCTTAAGGTGGAGGTTGGGGTATGTGGCTTGAGTTGTGGAGTTTAGTCTGCATAATTTTGGATCAAAGAGGATGCTTCCTTTGGCCTCATTAGGGATAGTAAGAGCCAGCACCAGTTCATAAGAAAAAGATAAGGCTCATGCCTATAATCCCAGTGTGATCGGGAGGCTGAGGCAGGAGGATCACTGGAGGTCAGGAGTTCGAGATCAGCCTGGCCTACATGGTGAAACCCTGTCTCTACTAAAAATACAGAAGGTAGGCGGGTGTGGTGGCGCATGCCTGTAGTCCCGGAAAGCCTGTTCTGGGAAATCTTCAGTACTTTGACAACTACCACGTCCTTGTTGGTCTTAAATTTCTTCATATAATAGAGAAGCAATTTCTATGATTTAAATTAAAGTGCTACAGTGAGAGAAAAATAACTCTGAAGTACTAAGTTGTAAAGGCACTTTAAAACAAACTACAGACCTGCTTCGGAGATACTGTGTTTAGCTCCAGACTGTCCGACCTACCCTCTGCGGGAGGACTGAGCTCATTCGGAAAAAACCGGACCGCAGGCAAGAAGAAAGTTCTTAAGTTCAGGCTTTATTGAGAGGAAAGAGCCTCCGGGCGTGCCAGCTGGGACGAAAAGGAAAAATGGCCACGCCGCTCAGAGGGGCAGGGTAGTTTTATAGGGATTGAAGGGCTGAAGGAGTGGAAAAGTTGGGGGCTGAGGTGGTGGGCAACTGTTGGCCAGTTTGAACCGCTAGGCGGGAAGCCGGGCGGCGGGAAGCCGGGGAGAGCTGACGAGGCAGAAACCGGGCGGCGGGAAGCCGGGGAGTGCTGATGAGGCAGAAGCGGCGGGAGGGGAGCTGGGGAGTGCTGATAAGGCAGAAGCAGCGGGAGGTGGCTGCGGCGGCGGGAAGGCCAGGGCGGTATGTAAAGATAGGAGAGCCTCTTTGTGGGGGGAGGGAAAGAGAGAGAGAGAGAGCTTTCACGGTAGAGGCAGAGTTTTCCAAACATTCCCGACTCCTTAAAGAAAAGAAAAAGAGGGGTCAGGGGCGTCGGCTGTCTCTCTGGCTACTTCCTGCTGACAAGGGTCGAAGGGGGTTCTGAAGAGGTCTCTTTTCTTAAGGAGCCTGGATGTTCAGGGAGAGGTCTGTTTCTTGCACTCGTTCAGGGCAGGGTTGGAGCAGCATCTGGTGGATGGTGATTCGAGTCAGTTCTTGAAAGCACCGCTGTATGAACTGTAGAAAGCAAGGAGCAATAAGTAAGATTAGGCAAACGGCTACTAGGGGCTCAAGCAATGGGGACAAGAGGGTATACATAGAGGAAGACCACCACACTGTGGCTTCAGCCGAGAACTTCTGACCCTGCAGGTTAGTTTTGAGTTTCTGGAGGCTCTCGATTCGGGTTTCTACTAGGCCGGATTCATTGATGTAGTAACAGCACTCTTCTTGTAGGAAGATACAGGTCCCTCCTCGTTCAGCAGTGAGCAGGTCTAGGGCTCTTCGGTTCTGCAAGGCAACTTGGGCAACTGAGGTGATCTGTCATTGGAGTGATGCTAAAGACTCAGTAGAGTCATCAATAGCCGCTTGGAGTTGTGAGGTCAGTCGGGCTATGGCCAGGTGAGAGTGGACTAGTGCCCCTCCTCCCAATCCTGCTGCAAGTGCTGAACCAGCAAGGGAGACTCCAACGGCAATGGGTAGGAAGGCAGCTCGTTGGGTGCGGCGATGGGGAGCTTGCAGCATCTGGAATTCGGCTGAAGAATATATAGTGAGTCGAGGGACTAGGGTTACTGGGAGGCATAAAAGAGATGAGGAAAGACCGATGTAGAGAGTTTTTGTTAAGGTCCTGTTACACCAAAAAAACGTTCCTCGTGGGGCTGTTATATTAGTGGTTACCTGTATAGTTCTGTTACAGCTAGGGAAGTTTCGGCCTAGGGAATAGCACACAGGTAGCTGTTCAAAATCAGTTGGAGTGTAGAGATCGACTTCCCTGATGGGGGAGAAGGAAGAAGTTGAGGCTGAAAGGTTGAGAGGGATGGGGTAGGGGACTGCAACGAAGGGAGTCTGTCCTAAGAAGGCACACATGAGGCATGAGGTTAGGTCAGTTAGTCCTGAGAGGTTAGCTA